CATAGAAGATGTAAGAGACGACTAAGGGAGCTTATGGTAAAGGGATGAGCAGCAGCGTCCCTCTTAAAACACCACCAAAAGTCAAACTGTGATTGTCATTCCGCCTTCTTTTCTTGTACATGTAAGAGACTGATTAAACGATTTATCAAATTAATAAAATTCCGTTTAATTGTTTATTTGACAAAACTAATTGACTGACTCATTAATGCATAATTTAAATCGCTAAACTTATAATTATGGATTTTTCTTTGAATATAAACACCTCTTACATATATGCAACTACAATGATAACATACTACAAATTGTTAAATATACAAGTAAGTACACTTTTTCTATCCTTAAACAAAATCCTTCAACTTGTCTATTTGTCAATCCAACTGTCTCTATCATACTAAACCATGATAAATTTGCATAAGAAGTGTGTCTTTTTTCCCCACTTCCCCCCTCCACCGTTCTATGCAAATTTTTCAGAGGACGCTTCGCTGCACAAGAACGGCGCAGTGTTGAAAACTCCTGGCTTGGATTTTTTGTCTGAAACTGAACAGCTTCATATATATTGGTCGGGGCTAAAATAGACACTTATTGGTAGATATCTATGTAATCGATCAATTTAAAATAAAATTAACCGAAAATTGTTACAGTAAAATAAAAGTTTGTATTTATAACCTAGTAAAGCCGAGAGATAGTGGTAAGGTCGTCTATCGCTACATTGGACTCTTGTTTGAGTTGCCCATATTTTACTCTGTAAAATATGGGCATCTCAAATATTATGTTTAGTTTTTTTTATACAACATAGAATGGCAAATAAGCTGACGGCCCACCTAATGGAAAGTGGTATACTGTTTCGCCCATGATACCCCCCATGCGTTGCCATTCCTGAGAACTCAGGTGTTATTCCTCGGTACCCTGTAAATTCACGCCATATCACACCCTTTAAACCGAAACACAGCCATGCAAACACAACTGCTTCACGGTTGAAACAGGAATGGGACAGAAGTATCCAAGCAAACGACTTTTGAACAAAGTCTCCCTCTGGTGAAAAATAATCTATAAATATGAGTGTCTCATATATAAGAATCATTATCATCATGATTATATCAGCCGTTATATGTCCACAGCTGAACATAATCCTCTCATGTACAATGTATTTGAGGTCGTCACTCCATTTGCCGAGGGGTCGTTCTACACTGCATTTGCCCGTATGTGGTCGCCACTCTTTTCCTTTTTTCCCTATCAGTTATATAGGATTACTATGGATAAAATTAACTAATTATTTTAATATAAAAAAAATACAGTTGAATAAAATGTTACAGAGCTTAAAAATGCACTTAGTACGTTTTTAATTATAATAAATTATGAAACTGAATTTTAAAATTTTGTGGAGCATACAAGTCCGGAGACATCGTGCATGAATTCTTTCTACAGTTCAAATGGTTCTGAATAGTGGAAGCTTTTTTATCTTAAAATGTGCTCTGAAAATAATACCCGATCTCAGTTCGTTATTTGAATAATAGAAGGTTTTACTGTAACCGTTCCTAAAAGAATACTTGAATATCTTCTGTATCTCAAATCGGTGGTCATACTGGATATTCGAAGTAAAATGTTTTCATTATAAGTATGCAACGATTCTTACGGGATAAAGATATTATTCTTATTTTTTTTATACATCCCTGATTTGAATATTTGTGATTGAAATAAAATGCAAGCAAAACTGCTACAAATTTCGTGTATAACATATAAAATGTTTACTCTAAAAACGGTACATAGCTAATTATAGACATTAAAACCATTCTCAACCCTCATTACCGTAGTATTCTATTGAAACCATACTTCTATATTTCAAATATTAATGGGTAGCTCAGAGAATTCTGGGTCCCAGGCATCCAGCCGTTACGTTCCCCGAACTACTCTATTTTATAAGCCGTAAAAGGTCCCCTCATAAAAGAAAAAACAGCCGACGGTTAAACCTACCTACAGGTATTAAAGCAAGCAATTAAAGTCTTAATGTAAAACCTATCCGAGCTACTAATAGGGATTAGACGGAAATGGCCTCATCTTTAGAACGCCTTACTGGCGGCCCGTAGATATTCCTCTCGTGTAAATGAATAAAATTGATAAATTAATTTTATTATAATGTTTAATCTTTAATAAGGACTCTTTCTATATATATATATATATATATATATATATATATATATATATATATATATATATATATATATATATATATATAAGTTTGAATATATTTATATATATATATAAATAATTCGTTATTGATAGAACAAAAGAAATTGCCAAATGAAATTGTTTTTATAACTTTAATATGTAGAAGTAAAGTTACGTTTCCGCCACTAATCTGATTTCTCCTCATACTTTATGTTGACTGGAAGAAGTGCTTCTAAGGAATAAATTTGCATAATTATATACGACTTCAACGTGACATAATTGGATTTCATATGTAATCTTTTTGTACAATAAAGTTTATAAACAGAGGAATCTCTACAATGTATTACATTTAAAATACACTGGTTGTTTCCCATGGCATTATTCACGTGGAATCTGTTACACAGAATTTCCGTAACATTAAATGAATTTCTCTATATTTTAAGATTTAATGGCTACTTAGTAAGCGAGTGATATTATGCTTTGTTTGATCTCATTTCGTATTTTGTACGTTTAACTGATATCTTCGTTAATTGCTAATAAATTTTTATTTGTTTATTTTTATTTATTTATTCTTTATTATACAAAAAAAAAAAATTACAACATATAATACATATAAAATAAAGATGTACAACAGGCGAGCTTAACTCTGTAATTTTATTAAATTTTAATAAATAATTTTTAAATTGGATTTAAATCTGTAGGTTTTACATTAATTAAGTTTTAATTGAAGCTGCCATATGATTTTACATTCTTTTTATTAAATAGTATCATGTAAAGAAGTAAATTACACAGTACAATAATTATATGTATTAATGCCGTATGGTCCCGGCATAGAATGGACCACCCCTTCCTTTTTTGTGGGTGTCGTAAGTGGGGACTAAGGGAACTTAATGGTTGATGGATGGGCAGCAACTTCTCTCTTAAAATATCATCAAAAGCCTAACTATAGTTGTCAACCTGCCTGCCAAGCGTGGCAGCTACTGGCAAAATCCCTCCTATGGGATGTCCCTCTTACGTCCAGCGTTGGATGATGAACGGCGGAAATGATAATCATGATGGTAATTATATTATGTGGCTCCAGATAGGATATGCACTTACAAAGCTTTGTAACCATTTTGTTTTTTTTTACATCAAATTTATTTCTTGAGATCAGTTAATTATCTTTTAAGTAAGAGATCCTAAATATAATAGAAAAACACATAATGGCGTCAAGAAGATAGACTCTGCACACCAGGTATATTAAATTTCATTTATTACTTTGTCAATTAATGAAAAGCCATTCGTCTAGACTATTATCGACCTGTTTGTCAAAGTATCAAATCTCCTTCAGTTTATTCAAATCCGAGATGTTTAAGGAAATTTCTCTCTTTGAAATGAGATTTATCTATTTCAAAACATTTTCAACCCGACAATAATATTTTACAAATTAACTAACTTTAATTTAATTAAGTATCTGTTTCTACTACTAGTAGTGAAACAAAATACACACCAGTTTTAAAGGTGAAATTTAAATACCATTATAAAACTTCTATTTTATAAACGTAAAAATGTATGTTTGTTATTTCTTAGCAAATAAATGGTTTAAACAGTCACAAATGAAATCTGGTCACTTATTATCCCGGTCAGTGAACATATACCGGTCACGCGGACGAAGTCGCGGGTAAAAGCTAGTATAAATAAATACATAGACACCTATTCTAAAAATAGCTTTTCTGTTTTTCCTTATTACTGGTTCGTCTAATTAATATTTTTTTCCTTAGCAATTCAATTTAATTCGTTTATTTATCAATAAATAGCAAATAAGCGAAAAAAAAACCTGAATAGACCTTTCGACCTTCTTTTTTCTTTTTTATTATTTTATTACTATATATAAGTACAGACAGACATGAGTTATTATAATAGTTTTATTTGAAGATTCAATTTGCCAAATGGGTAAAATGATATTGGTGTAGGACGAAAAAGGACCAAATGGAGTTTGTCGGGTATTTTAATATCGGAAATGCGACATTGGTCCGTTTGATCCCAACTCTTGGCAAGCAATATTAAATCATTCATCAAACGAATGACGTGATAATATTTCAACTCCACTGTATCAGTCTGGGTCACTTTGCAAGTTGATTCTATTTGTAAATGTAAGTGGATTTGTTCAAATTTCATTCAGTAATATGATGCTCTCGATGTCAATTTGAAATTAATATAATTTGTTTGTTACGTCTTAACGGCTCGAACAAGCTTCTTTGTATATTATGAAATAACAATATGTATTATTTGGTATAGTGAAAAACAGGCCATTCTTTATGCCAACAAATATGATAAGACTCAGTCATATGGGCATAGATAGTTATAAAGTATAAAAAAAATTCAATGCAAATGTATGAGAAAAATATTTTGTAAATTTTTCAATATTTGTATACGATATACATAAAATATAATCCATTTGCGATTTTTCCTGCTTTAATTGTGAATATGAAATATTCAAAAAAAGAAGGATATATTTTGTAATTAAACTTAATAAAATATAAATACATAAAATAAAAATGTCTTTTATTTTGTGCGATACAGTTCAAATAATTTATAGTTTAAATATTTTCCATTCAATTCACATATATAATACTAAGATTAGGATAGCAAATAATGTTGATAAACGTCTTTAGTACTTTTTTTATTTTCATATTACTAATATTTCTATTACCAAATTTAATTTATAAAATTGTTAACTTCCATTGACTTCTTCTCTAAATATTTAAACCTCTTGGTAAAATGCCCTACGAAATAAAGATTCTCATCCACTAGATAATAAGGGATAAAAATAAAAACAATTTATAACACGTAAAATGTTTTATTTACAAAATTTATTTACAATTTCAAACTAACGTTTTTACAATTTATCATTAGATTTAAGTTCATCTATCTCCGATATTATAATATAAACCGGAAACAAAGCTTTAACATTGATTCCTAATACCCCATTCTATGTCGTAGAAAAGACTACACAAAGAAAAATTATTATTTACAAAATATTGCGGACTATTTTTACGTTTAAGTTTTATTACAAAATGATATAAAACATCAAAAAAAAAATACGACAAATATATAACAATGTAAAGCTTAAAGGTACTTTGAACAAAATTATCATTGTTACGGTTAAATTAAGTATTGTATTAAGTTAAAAAATAAAATATCAATTTACAAAAAAAAAATATTATTGTTAAATTGTATGTAATTAATTAGAAGTTGAACATAGTCGTTATAATAATACACAAATAATGGTACATATAAAGAAAATCTACAAAGTAGGACCGTATTTTTTTTCGAATATTACATATTGATACTACATTACTATAAAATCCTGATCTGTTATTAATAATAATAATTAGAATATTATTTACAAGAAACATTAGCACAACCTTAAGAAAAACGATATCGTTTCGATGAAATAAACTATTCGATATTAAAACAACAATTTTTGTTTTATTTTGTTTAAAAGTAACATATTATACCGTCAAGTGAGATGTTGCTTCATTATTTTAAACAATCGATATAACATTAATAACATCAATGCAAATCGAATACCATTAGTTTCTAATAATGGGACACTTATTACAATAATTCGTTTCTTAATACGGTATCAGATTTTGCTTACAATTCTCTTATATCGTACTTATTAAGTTTACGTGCATAATATTTTTTTTAATTCTCATATTTTGGTCATCTTGTTATGAATCTTCTAACGCGGTTGGGCCACAAGAAATTTATAGCTATTACGAAATATATTAAAATCTTTTCGGTCAAACGAAAAGTACACTCTATTGTATTGCTGAGGACTGATCTACTCTGGTTCAAGTTTACTAGTAGAATTATCATCGACGGTAATGATGGAGTCACCTGGATTGCGTTGCTTTGCATTGCCGCTGGCCGTTCGCCACTCACCACGTGGACAACCACAGAAGCCGAATCTGTCAAAAAATATATACATAATATAAAACAGCTCAACGTAAAATTAGTTTGTTAGATTACTTTCGGTGTTTGGTTGATCAAATCAATGTGGACTGTTTTAGAAAGCCAAAAGGCGAGCTGTTTTGTTACAGGTATGTGGAAGGGGTCCCGTATTATCGGTCGTCGGTTGTAGGAAAAATGTGCCAAAAATTAATAGCTGTAACAATTTCTTTTTTTGGATTTTCCATTGCGCGGGTATCTAATTTAGCGTATAAGAGACGCTAATGCTTATCATTGCTTTTTCGGAACACCAGGCGGAAACATTTTAGGACTCCGTTAATTTTATTTAAATGTATATAAAAAGTCAATAGCCCGTAGAAAAATGGGGTGAACGGAATACAAATTGCCGATAAGAGCCCAACAGAAACAGTGGATTCGACCACGTTGATTCAAGAATTGGAGGAAAGGGCGCAGAAAAAGACAAATTGTTTTTACGCAACTACAGGCAGAGATATAGTGAAGAGTGCTCTAAGAAAAATGTACATACTCAACGGACATCCATTACACTATGGCAATTTTTTATTTACTCTGAATCTTTATACCTCCAGTCTAAACTAGAGACCTCGTGAACAATAATTCAGTTTAAATATTATTTTTTGTATTTACTATCATAATTTATATAATCTAAGAGTCATATTTTTAAAAATTCCTCTAAAATATTTAGATACTAAAAATTATTCCAGACTATTTTATTTTCGTTAATAGGAATATATTAATAAATTATAAGGTACAAAAGTTTTGGAAGAAAATATTTATGTAGTCGAGTTATGTTTTAAAAGCTTGATCGATTGATTGAATGGCCTTTTTAAAAATATATAAAAACAGACTAATCATTATGTATTTTATTTTAATTGTGATTCATTTATTTAAAGCAATTATAGCCTTAAACAATATTGTGATTTGTCTCTGTTAGAATGTAACAAAGAAATAAATTAAACATTCGAATATCGAACATCACATGCAGGTACTCGGAAATGAAAATGCAAAATGAAAGATGATTTTATTCGCAAAATGTATCTGTCATGATTTATTCCAGCATTTATTCCATTTGAGATCGACAGCTCTAAAATACAAAACTTAGTATTCCAGCTTTAAAGCAAAAGAAATATTTTCTTCTTTTTACCAATAATAATATTATTTCTTATACTATTTATTTAATATATTGTGTGTATGTTTATATTATATGAATAATTATTATAATTCAATTGTTTCTGCCTATCCTAATGTATGTATGTACATGAATATATCAAGTACTGCTTTATTTTTCCACTATTCAATAATAATGCTCCGCTTACTTATTTCTTAGTTTGCCCAATGGTTGACTGTTAGAGAACACTGTCCGGTGCTAAGTCCACTAAATGTACATAGAATTTTACTGTGCATTAAATTTTAAATAAATAAATATATATTATAAATTATTAAGTATTACAGTTTTCACCAATAACAAGTACAAAATTATTTCACATAATATACAATAGTGTTTATATTAATTAATTATCATGCAGTTTGGAAGATTAAAGAGTTGTTTTTATACTTCTAACACTAACTTTTTTTTTTACAACACAGGGGGCAAACGAGCATGCGGTTCACCTGATGGTAAGTGACACTAATTTTCGGATTATTATGTCTAATCAGTAAGAATATTTATGGCTAGCCAGCACTCATTGTAGATACAATATACATGAAGTGAAGTTACAGATTTGAAAATCTTCTTAACATTATTGTTCATATAAAAATATGTTAGAAATAAATGAACACTGTAAAGAGTCAAAATTTGCTCAAATGTATATTTTAAAAATTTTTCAAGTCGAAATATTTTTCTTCTTAGCGGGGTGAATAATGGACTATCAACATTCATTGGAAAATTTCAACCGCTACCTATAGAGATGATCAACACTATTGATCTCACAGAATATACTGTAACTCCCATGTTATTGTCGATTTTTTTGCTGATCGTACCAAAAATAATCTTAGTGTACGTGAAACTCACCAGAGCTACTGGGCGCACACGTGTAGTTTCCAGAGTCCCTCGGCGACGCTCGTGCTATGAGAAGACGACTGGTACGCGTCCTTTGTTCTGTTTCCACACTAATTCCACCGCGTTGAGCATAATTTACGACGTGTGCGCCTCGGTACCAGTAGATAAAACTGTAAGAAAAAGTAGTTCGCTGAGTTTTGAACATTTTCAGTTCTTTGTGAATAGTTACGGAACGTTAATTCTCAGAAGCAACAACACGTGAAGACTGTTCTTTTTATGCAATTTAAAATGGCAAGTTGACGGCTTTATTTATAGATAGTGACAATCGATGCTTAGACATGAACAGTACCACGAACATCTAAAGATACACTACTGTGTTGTATTATATGTGGTACTATAGATTTATAAGGTGTTATACCTTCATACCCTGTAATTTCATTGGCATTTTCTTCAATTGCCTTATTCATTAAATACTCTGCTCGGAAGCAGAAATATAAGTAAAAGGAAAATATAATATTCATATACACAATTTTTTTACAGTTTTTCTTTGGTAAATTGGTTAGGCTAGCATTTTATATGTTACCCGCTGTAGGTATAAGGAATATTGTAAATGATTACGAAAACAGTAGAAGCTTATTCCACGCTTTTAAGAATTGTTGTTAATATTAGAAATATTCAAGTTCTTTTGAATTATGTCTTATGAATTATGTCTAAAAATTCCCTTTGATCAGTGAATTCTGTACAGGTTATGACGTTTTATGATAAAAAAGATCTGCTTGTCTAAATTTCCTTTTGTAAATTAAGATATTAATGTGGAAATACGTAATATCAACACTAAAATAGGGTTTTCACTGTGAGTGACTCACTGAGTAATTTTTATTAGTAAACGATATATTACTAATATTGGTTTCTTTTCTTTGATATTTTCATATGATGAGTTCTTTGAAAAAAATCTATGGCAATGATAAAGAAAATAAAGAGAAGATTTCCAGAGTATATATTCTTCTTTTCTCTCCTTTACTCATAATTGAGGACTGAGACCACGTGAGGATTTTACTTTCTTTACTATCGTTCCCTAAGCCATGCAGTCTCCAGTCATCCGTATATATTTTTGAGAATACTTCATCTGGCAAACTTCCTATACCTACTGCATCATCGTATCTGGAACTTATGATTTATGGACCACAAAAACTTTGTGTCACATTAAAATATCCGATTAACTTTCTAGTAACAGAAAACACTGTTACCAAACTAAATTAAACTTATAGACGGCAGAAGCTCATTTAGCCTTTGCCACGTTAGATTAAAATATATGTATAATACTTGGGCATAAAAAGCCAATAACAAGCCTTTAATTCATTAAAGTCATAACTTGGTCAGTATATTAATTTAATTTACATTATATATTTTTTTAATCAATCTTGAAAAAAAAGGAAGTTCTCAATTGAAAGGTTGAATTTTTTTTATTTCATAATTGTGTCATTCATAAACAGAATTAGAATATTATATTTTTAATTGAAACGATATACGGGTACTTCCACATTGGTTCTAATAAATTTTATCAAAATTAGTTAATTAGTTTAGTTTTTTAATCAAAGTAACTAGTTATGTCCCAAAAAAAAATCTTAAATTACTGAATATTTAAATTTCAAAACTAAGTTATATATTAAATATTAAATTGAATATATCCCTTGAAAGTAATGAATTATTTAATAAATATTTTATTAGAGAAAGAATATACGCGACTCACCTTGGTGGGTCCGGAGCGTGTCTTGCGATGCAGGTCAAGTTAATGTCAGAACCGGCTCGCACGAACAACTCTGGCCCCGAGAGGATCTCTGCTTTTGACACTGTAAGAAGATGTTTTATTAAGCATTTTATTGTAGTGTATTACTAATAGATAGATAAGTAAGATAGGGAAAAAGAGTTATTAATAATGGAGACTTACGTCTCAATTATTAATAACTATCTTTATAAATCATAATTAAATAATATATTGGCCATATTTAATTATGACTTATACGGATAATACCATAATTATTAAAATGTCTTACCCAATTTTTCTATTCATATCTGACTATAGCGTTATAATTATGTAAGCTTTTTATAACATGCAAGAATAAAAAAAATCTTTTACGTTTTATACCTATTTAAATTAAATTCCTTGCTCAATTTTGTTGCCTTTCCTTGTTCAATTTTGTTAATCTATACAAGAAGCTATTGTCGTCAGAGTATTTTTTAGATTTATTAAAAAAGCCGCTATTTATAGTATTTAATTTTTTTTTGTGTTTATGTTTATGTTTACTCTATAAAAAAATATCAAATATAAATATGGTAGCAAAGATAAACTGACATTTAAAAAAAATATGTAAAACAAATAGGTACTAACAAAATACTAATAATTTCCCGCTCACTCCACATCCTTTTATTTTAATTCCTTTACTGTGCAGGCAGTTTGCCTGTGAAACTCACTACCTGCCTGTATTCAGTGCGCTCAATCTCTCGCTAGCTTCAAAATCTCTGTTAAATCCTATTATCTCACCCATTAAGTACTATTTTCCTGTGTTCTCTCTTCATCTTCCAGTTTCATTCTCTCCTGTTGTATATGTGCTTTCATGTTTGTGTATGTTTATGTGTATATATATATATATATATATATATATATATATATATATATATATATATATATATATATATTTCTCATTACATATATATGCAATATGTAAAATATATAAATAAATAAGTAAATAAAATACGAATACCAAATTCGAATGGTATTTTACTCAAAAAGGAGTAAGCGTCCGTCAGTCACCATCAAAAACCTTTTTGATATATTTTAGATTGAATGTTGTCTATTAAATTGAATCTCTAAACATGATGCGTCAAGTCAGGATTATTAATTCGATATTAATTATTTTTTAATTATTAAATAAAAAAGATTAATTAATTATAATCGCGTGTCAAAGCAATGACGTAGCCTGAAATTTTTCAACGTTATAATTATTATTTTTTAACAGATGACTACGTTACGTTACGTTTTTTTTTATAACGGATATATTTTTTAAACTAATCTAAATTTTAAATTGATAGTATCAGTAGATAGCTTCTTAACTATGCTGCTGATATAAATGGACAAAATGTCAGTATAAGAAATCTTTTTGTATCTATTTGGCAGGGAATCCTAATAACAGTAGATAATATTATCACATACGTGTACAATTTTCATTGTCAATAATAATATGCAAACCGTTTTGTTATTGCCACAAAATTTTTCATATAGTATTATTTATATTAGTACATTATGTGAATAAATTATAAAAAACTCATGACTTTATTGAGGAGAATTCTATAATCAATTCGATAATAGCGCAATACAAATATTTTATTCATGCGTTTGTATGTGTTTGTCTTTGCTGCTGGGTATTTCTATATATATACATATATACAAAGAAATAAGTACTTTTATTGTCGTGTGATCTCGGCATAGAATGGCCCATCCCTTTCTTTCCCGTGGGTGTTGTAAGAGGCAACTAAGGAAATTTAATGGTCGAGAGATTGATATCATAGTCCCTCTTAAAACATTACCAAAACTGCGGTTGTAAACCCACCTGTCAAACATGGCAACTATTAGGAAAACCCTCCAATAAAGAGAGGCCAATGTTCAGTAGTGAACAATTAACGATTGACCTGATGATGATGATGAAGAATTTGTATTACTTGTTTAATACATATAAAATAATTAATATATGTAATGATATTTATTTATTGCTAACTCAATAAATTTACACCGCATTGAAAATAATAGAATGGATGTCGGTCGAATAATTATTGAATTTCGTGTATCTACAATAGTTAATTAACGCTTGATACAGGCATGTGTTTCAATTACATAGAAATGCCAATATCGTTTCAACTTTGTAAATAGACTATTCACATTCCAAGTACGGAATTATCTGACAGAATTACTTTAATACTTAGAATATTTGTAATCAGGCAATAACGTTGGTGTTGAATATTTAAGACATTGTTGTGTCCTAAGTTTGTATCTATAAATAGTACAAGGACTAATATAAATTCCGGTATCTTACTAATATAATAAAATTGTAACAAGACGATGTCTGTACATGATAAACATTTTAGAACAAAATATGTTAGAGATAGGCTTTATTTAGCAGAAACAATAGAAGCTAAAACATTATATTTTAAAAATTTTGTCTATTTGCCTGTCTGTTTACCTGTATATTTGTCCTGGCATTACATAAAAATTACTACTCCAAATTGAATGCAGTTTTCACTATTATATTCCTAAAGGTGTAACTTAAAAAGTGATGTTTGTTTCATGTTGATTCACGATCTAGAATCGGTTTATTTAATGATTTCCTACGTTTGATAACCACGCGTATGAAAAATCAGGCAAAAAGTTAGTTAATAATATTAAGTCACTATTAATATATATAATTAAGCCGCAATTATTAATACTTGTACCTAATTAATAATAAGAATAAAATATATTTATTTATACTGCACTTATACTATTTTATTTCTTTTAAATGATGAGGGTATAAAGTAACAAGAATGAAAGTAATCGTAAATACTACATGTATAACCCAATTTCATATCGAACTATTAAAACATCAATAAATAAGTTCCCGGAAGACCAAGCCTTGCCTGGTATTTTTTTGCTTAGTGTTGTTTAACAGCGCCATCTATTGTTTAGTAGCTTTAGTGTTGCTGTGTCAATAAAGCAGTTAGTTGCAAATCGATAAAGAGTTTATGATTTTACTTATATCTTTGCATAATAACATTGCATGTAGGATAAGTTTTCTTCGTGTTTTCTTAAGAAAATATACTTAGATTCATTTATATATACACATATATAAAAGAAGTGTTATGTTAAAATTAATAATATTAGTAAAAACATGGGCATAGACACTGATTAAAAAAAAAAAACTATTTGGACTACAGAAATACGAGAAAATCTCCGTTTACTATTTACTTATGATAAATAAACAAATTTATATGCTTTATGTCATGTGTTAGTGACAATATAAGAATTTCATGAAATAGTTTTAATTAATTAGAAATCAGTATAATTTATTTATTTACTTTTACTTAATTAATATACAGTGTAAATTTAGTGAATTTAATACTGAGTGGTGTTTTCTATCAGTCATTTGAGCAGAGAAATAGGTAAGCGTATAGTATCAATATAATACGAGTTCCTATTTTGTGTATTGCATTTACAATGAAAAGGTCATGTTTTAATTTATAAAACTCGAAATATCTTTAATTTAAATCCGTATTCTTACTCTTATAACGAAAATAGCAACGGCATTGCTGCGATTCAATCTTTGAAATCATTCGTGATCTCATCCTTGAATGGTCACGACTTCAAAACCGTTCAATAGAAATGTCATTGATTCGTTTTTATTTTTTTATTTTTAATATGGAACATTTTTTATATTTCTTGAAAGTTAATCTTTGCAATGTTTATTAAATGCACTAGTCAGTTTTAGTTGATGTTTAACTATTTCTTTGTTATTGCTTAGTGTTTTAAGGGTTTAACTAATCATCCTGAATTTTAGTATACATGTATTTAGGATGGAGAAGATAATACATTATTTTTTATTCTGCTCAATTAATATATCATGGTCCGTGTGACTGAGAATAAGTAGAGCGTACAAACAAATATTTATTACACAAATATTAATTTTTATCCACAACTTCGTCTTTACGAATAGACAGTAAATGATATAACCATATTTTAAGAAACTTCAAAAAGTACAAGGCCTTCAATTTGACGGTATTTTTTATATATATCTTACACAATATCTGTCTCATTCATCATACATACATCAATTCTGCACTGTTGTTGATAATCCTATTTTTATCGGTAGGTTAACATCATAATTGATACACTTGAATGTGATCAACACGTTGTTTAACATAGTGTAATGTCATTAATTATATTAATATACCTATTTATTATTGTGCTTGATGGGGTCTATTTGGAAGATGAATTTGATGATTGATGACTTCAATTCCGTTGTATTTTTTTTTTGTTTGTAACCTCTTAACTCCGTCAATACATTCGATTTAGAATTTTTTTTACTAAAAGGGTATACTTACAGATTGGTCCCACTGAAATTTTGTCAAAATGGCTTCAAGTAATTTAGTTTTTAGATCAAAATAATTGGTTTTGTCACAATTGAGGTCGATTTTTTTATGGAATACAATTATTAACTCATTTACTATTATTAACTCCAGTCTGGGTATACTGGGTTGTGTAACATAAGGTATGTTAGCTTGAGGAGTAGGCGATTGGTGTGAGTGTGTAACACTTACTATTATTACTAGCTGTATTCCGCGGCTTCATCCGCGTGAATCAAGATATAAAGTACCTTACGCGCTAAGTTAGAATATAACTCACCCATGTACTAGATTTCATTCAAATCCGTTCAGTAGCTTTTCCGTGAGAGTAACATCCATCCATCCATCGTTAGAAACTTTGAATTTATTACGTTAATAGAATTACTCACCAACTACAGTTAGTCGAAATGACAAACTGATTTTAGGCTCTGTGGAAACTTGGCATTCGTATCCGCCGGAGTCTCGCGGCTGCGCAGGCGCCACCCTCAACGTCCACTCATCAGATCCATCCGTGTGGAGAGCCGCGAACCGGGCATCGCTGCTGTACGTGTGGACACCAACTGTCAGGATGTGCAGGTCTCTTTTGCGAATCCACGATACCTGAACAAAATTTATTGAGCTCAACAAATAGTAAAATATGCAAATAGGTTCGTGTGACCGGGATATATTTACTGACTGGGATAAAAGTAGCCTGTATCCTTTCCTATCTCATTTAATACGTGTATACTAAATTTCATAGAGATTGGTTAAGTCATTAAGGCTCTATAAAGAAACAAACACTTTTTTGTGATACTAATGTTAAATGGCAAACAAGCTGAACGCTTACCTAATTGAATGTTATAGCTGTCGTCTTTAGCCATGAAGAGTATTATTTATATCCAAATACCGTTTTTTTTATACCACAAATGTGGCTAACAAGCATACAGCCCGTCTGATGATAAACGGTCACTATAGCCTATGGATGCCTGCAACACTAGTCACGTGTGTGTTGCCAGCCCTGAAGAAACCTTAATATACCCTTTTCGAAAAACTCCATTCTGTAGTCTTTACGAGAATCCTTGATACTGTGTGATGCTCATGATACTTTTTATGATTTACCATTTCTAAGGACACCATAGTGTAGACAATGCATAACTCTCTCTCTTTCTCTCTTTCTCACGCATGGACAAATAATAATAATAAAAAAAAAAAAAAAACTACGTTAAGTGTAACATACTATGGAGATCATAAAAAAAACAATGGAAACTCGGGATCGATCTAAGGCATACGTCGCAATTTATTATATTATTATAGTCATTGCAGAACTAAAATTTATGGCGGGTTCCTTACATATATAGTGAGTAATTTTTTGAACAGAAAGCGGAGGCGACAACGAGCAAAGCTTTGTGAAACAGATAGTCCTATATAGTAACAAAATAGTTTGACAGCTCTTTACAAACCTCTCAATTTTCGCGAGAGCGAAATCTAGGAACGCAGAAATAGGAGCGCGTCCGATAATTTGTTCTCAATTCGATACTTCGTCAAGGAGGAAATAAGTTTATTTCAATAAGGGTACACAGAGAGCGACGTCGGCTCAGAATTTCCGATAGTAACATCAGTGATTGACGTTTCATTATGGGACCTTTGTAAAGTCCACGGAATGGGGGCACTTAAAGAAAAATACAATTGAATTCGATACTGCAGAAGTTAATACCGTTTGAAAGAACAGTCGGATTTACTGAGTTGGGAGCAAATTTTTAATAATATAAATTCGTGCTTCTTTTTTTTAAAATCACTGGTTAGGAAATAACTTGTTGGAATGTAATAACCATCGCTTAACAGCAGAGATTTCATCCTCATTTATTATCCCTCACTGGTATGTCAAAAATGTAAACTGATAATTATAGCATTTATTAGATTTTCAATTTATTTTTATTCGTATTGTAATTATATCAGCTTTATTCACGTTTCAAATTCGAAAGTGTTCGACTTTTGCACTCAATAGGAGCCCTTATTAATGAGCGCAGAGCCCTTGTTACGATATAGTAGTAAAGGCTCTTGATAGTTATCACTGATTTTCATTCAATTTAAAAAACAACACCACTGACATTAAACTAAAATCGCAACTGTATTTTGCATACTCATTTTTTTTTAACATTTAAGATTCCATTTCCAGTCAGGCCTATTTGGTAATTTAGAAAAATTCACTAAATTGACCCATCCCGGCACCGATCCCGGAATTCATTTATGAGAAGCAACTGTGCCACGGAAGACGCAATTACGTTTACGATATTCCATACATTAAAGCAATTAATTAACATTAATTACACAATTTTGAATTATTCTCCTTGCGCACCGACTGAAATGGAGCTACGGCGATTATTACAGCAACAAAATTATAGCAATAAACGATTACAATAAACGAATTAATTTTGCACAAAACGGTTATTCATTTAGATTTTTCCTCTGAAAAAAGTAACAATTTAATATAACTTCCCTCAAATAAAATTCGCGTTGAATGTTACAGGAGAATGTTTCCCTAGACGAAAAAAAAATATATAGAACAGGATTCTTCGAAGGTAACATTCCTTACTCGTAAAAAAGATTAAACTTGTAAGAGAGGAGAGGTAAGGGTGAGTAGATACTTAATAATTCGTCATAAAACAAACGATAATGGCATACCCATTACACTTTATTGGCGTTTTCTCGTTCAAAGTATTCAACGATACTTTTACTTTATACATGTTTTGGTTTGTTGAACATGAAAATATTTTAGCATCAAAAGCAGTAGGTAAGTGCCTCCTTATAACAATGTGATACAATATTGAAAATGATTTCATTAATTTATTCATTTACCAATACTTGTACTTTAACCGGTGTGCGAATACCAATTTGATATACGAATTAATTTATAGGGCGCTACGGATCAATAAAATTGATTAGTGATGTTTTTGTAATCCTTACTAATATTATAAATGTGAAAATGAGTTTGTTTATTACTTTATAACGGTTTAACCAATTACTATGACATTTGATATACACGTACTATATAGGAAATAGGCTACTTTTGTCGCGGTCACACGTACGAAATCGCAGGTAAAAGATAGTACTCAATAATGCAAACAAGCCCACGACGGAAAGTGGCGACCATCACCTACAGATAACATGTATATCAACAGCACCATACATATCATAAAATACGATAAAAAATAATGTTTTTTTTAAAATTGCAGGTGACAGTAAACAAGCATAAGACTTGTCTGATGGTAAAAGGGATTATTTATATGTATTTAATAATAATATGTATAATGATGGCCGTAGTAGATACTCATGCAATGTCATCATGAGGCCTATGATATTGTGCTTCTGTATCTTGTAATTTCATTACCATATCTCAATTTTCAAACCAAAACACAGCTTTACAAGCACAAAAACAGACAAAAACAGGTGAAAAAGATGTATCCATGCAGGTAATTTTTTGTATAATATGACTATTAGACGATTAAAAGACGATTAAAAAATAACTATTATTTTTTTAAGTACATTGTTTGTTATTTTGCAATAACAGGAAAACTTGCAGCCTGTTTGAGGAATACCATTGGAGTTTTTAGAAAATAGACAATTACGTTATATTATATAATATTATACACAGAACTCATCCAGATTAATACAAAAAGCCATACCTGTGAATACAAATGCTTGTATTGTATGAGAATCGAACCCACGACTATTAGAAGGTACGCCAGTAAGTTAAACCGCTACACCATCATGATTCTCAAACTTTATATCTTTGTATGAAATTATAAACGACAAAATTACACCAACTTTTTATCAGTTCAACAATTTAGGCCGCGAACGTATGACTGGCAATTTCCTCGCCAGTTACTCCGCGCATGTAATCACATGATTTATATTTCGTCAGTATACACACGATACTATAATTTGTCCTTAGGGAAATTCTCGAGTCGTCTAATGTGGAATTAGATTTACATTCCGGTGTTTGATCACTGAATCGCGCGCGTTTTATGTGAAGCATTGTTACTGAATAAACACACCGTGAAATTAATTTATAGGAAGCTAATTACACCATTTGTTAGTCTGACGGTACATTCTTCTAAACGGTGATTAAAATTTAAATATTTGTTCGAAGTAGGTCACTGAAAGCGGTAACCACCACTTATGTAGATAAAATTACTCAATGTTAGACAAACCAAACAATCGATGATAGATTTAACAATTGTTTCGTGTAGAATATCATATAACATGCATGTAGACTATTGTGGAGAGTATTGGATTTACTGTTTTTTTTTGTATCGGTCAATACTGATGTCCGACTAATCGTACCGATTTACATGTAATTTATTTTATATGAAATTTTTATTTATAATTATCATTTTAAAACGTATGATCAATTACGTATGATATCATTTTAAATTCGTGATTCAACCAAAATTATACTATTTGTTAGATATAAAAAACATATGTATATTACAAATAAAAAGATACAATAAAAATCTATTTGCACTTGTCTAAGCTCTATAGCGGATGCTATACCATCCATGCTGGTCATATTGTGAATTTCTCATCACTATATGGTATATGTATATAAATATGGCAGATTTAATATCAAACGGTGTTCTTCGCCATTAAATCATTGGGCAAACTGAGATAATATATAAGCAGGCGGTGTTTTTTTGAATTGAGGAAATATAAAAGTAATACTTTAATTATATATGTATGTATATATATATATATATATAATCACATTTAAAGTAAATGTTAAATAAAACAGTATAAATAACAGAATATATAAGTATATTGAGAATCATTGTCAGAAGGCCTTGTATTCTTTATTCTTCGATCGAGAACCTTGTATCTAAACTTAAAAATAATAATTAGTTTTCGAAATAAAATAAAAGAAAAATAATTAAAAAAAATAATAATACAAAATCCATTCTATAATGAAATAAAAATAATTCAGTGATATTACAAACAAATAACATTTTAAAATGGATGAAACAAAGTTAAAAATATACGATTGAGCATGTCAATACTTAATTGGATACGATGAAAGGAGAAATATAATTTGAATAAAATAGAATTGCATGCTGCTCGGATTGCATTCAAAAGAGTTTTTTACGTTTACTGGTTGTAATATTCATACTACAATGGGGAAATAAAATTATGTACAAGGAGTTATATATAGAGTATTTTTAATTTATTGCAACTTTTTTGTATAAATAAGTAGATAATAATGTAGTTTATTAAGTTTCATTTAATAAACGTTTAACATGATTATAAATGAATAAAACATTATTCTACCTCATAAATCATACTTCAGGTCTGTTATAAGGAAGAAGGAAAAAATTCCAAAGGTCTTTTTCTGCTTTGCCTAATGCATACTCGCTCATGTTGATCAGTTAAGTTGTGTACTTGACAATACACAACTTAACTGATCACAACAGCTGGATTTAGTTCAAATTCAGTCATTCTTAATTTTAAATATACATTGTAAAATTACACATTTCTACTTTAGTTAGATTTAGTCATTCTTCCATCAAACATTCTTTTCATATCACCGAATCACTCTATATAACCTACCTTATTTTTATACTAAAATT